TGCGTGCCATGAAGCAGTAGGTAGGAGCGGAGTAGTCCTTGTCATTTGCATCGGTGTCGGTGATGAAGTCATTGTCTTCAGTGTTGAAGATGGACTTGGCAACGTATGCTGTAGCCAGACTTGCGACGCCAGAATCGGACTCCTCCTCAGACTCCACCTCCACCTCCTCAGAAGCGGACTCCTCCTCTGAATCCATTTCCTTGCCAACAAACGCACGTGCCTTGCCAGATGAGCTCTTCTTGTGTGATGAAGACTTTGAGGAAGACTTGGAAGAAGACTTTGATTATTTCTTCTTCTTCTTGTCGTCAGAGTCATATTCCTTGCTCTTCTTCTTCTTTTTGTTTTCATTGTCCCACTGCAGACACTCAGAGATGAAGTGGCCAAGTTTCTTGCACTTGTGACATGTTTTCTTCTTGTAGTCATGAGCAGAAGCTTCATCATTCCTTGAGCTTGATCGGGAAGACTTTCTGAAGCCTTTCTTCTTGGTGAATTTTTGGAACTTCTTCACAAGCATAGCAAGTTCCCTTCCAATGTCTTCAGGATCATCAGAACTGCCGTCAGATTCTTCTTCAGATGAGGAGACAATTTTTGCCTTCAAGGCACGAGTTCGCCCATAGTTTGGACTGTAGATATCTCTTTTCTCAGAAAGCTGAAACTCATGTGTGTTGAGCCTCTCAAGTATGTCAGACGGATCGAGTGTCTTGAAATCAGGACGTTCTTGAATCATCAGGGCTAGGGTGTCAAACGAACTGTCAAGTGATCTCAGTAGTGTCTTGACAACTTCATGCTTGGTGATCTCAGTAGCGCCAAGGGCTTGAAGCTCATTTGTGATGTCAGTGAGTCGATCAAACGTGAGCTGGACATTCTCATTGTCATTTCTCTTGAAGCGGTTGAAGAGGTTGCGAAGGACACTCATTCTTTTCTCTCTAGGTTGAGACGCCTTCGTTGACCTTGGAGAGCTAGTCCCAGACTAGCTTAGATGTTTCCAAAGCACTCACGCGGCCATACCGTCCTTTGGTCAGATGACCACAGATGATATTCTTGGCAGTAGAGTCCAGTTGAACGAACTTCTTAACGTCAGCAGCAGTGACACCTTCTCCAGCCTTGGGAACGCCGTTCTTGATGACATACCATAGGTTGACGTCAATGGCTTCAAGATGCATGTGCATCTTATTCTTCCAGTAGGGATATTCAGTTCCATCGAAGACGGGGCACGCAGCGGAGACTTTGATTATCCCTGCAGTCGACATAGCTAAAACTCCAGGTGGTTAAACCGAATCACACAGAACAAGGGAGTACCAAGCTCTGATACCAATTGAAAGTGCGTTATATCGACTAGAGGGGGGGAATAGGCGATTTTTATTGAAGTCTTCAAAACATGGAAGTTTCGAAGACAAACAACAGAAATAAACCTATTACCATGCAGCGGAAGGTAGACTACACTAGGCAAACCATAGTCAAGTATTCAATGAAGTGAAAGCACAGTGACTAATAGCAGCTAGGTAGTAAGGATTAGGTACGAAGATATTCTGAAGCCAAACAGAACACGCAGTCACTCAGTGAAGACAAAAGATAGTGCAATCATACAATGACTTCACAAGGACCAACAGTAAGTAAAGGGAAGGGAAGGATGAAACCAGTGACTCGTTGAAGACAATGATTTGTTGGACCAGTTCCAGTTGCTGTGACAACTGTACGTCTGGTTAGAGCGGCTAGGTATTTAAACCTGAGGACACACAGTCCCGGATACCCAGTCCTGAACACGCAGCTCAGGACACCCAGTCCTCACCGTATTCCTCTTGAGCTAAGGTCACACAGACCTCGCCCAATCACTCTGGTAAGTCTTCAAGGTAGACTCCCAAACCTTCACAGACTTCGTTCACCGGCGATCCACAATGTCTCTTGGATGCTTAGAACGCGACGCCTAACCGGCTGGAGGATTCACAGTCCTCAAGTGTAATAAGTCTTTAGATCACACAGACAAGAAGACTTAAGTGATGCCTAATTCTCTTTGGCTCTGGGTGGTTAGGGCTTTATCCTTACAAGGAATTCTCTCTCAAAGGCTTCGAGGTGGATTGCTCTCAAACGACAAAAGTCGTACACTAACTCTGAGCAGCCAACCGTTTATGGTTGTAGGGGGTGGGCTATTTATAGCCACTAGGCAACCCGACCTGATTTGTCCGAAATGACCCTGGGTCACTAAGGAACTGACACGTGTTCCAACGGTCAGATTTCAAACTCACACGACAACTTTACTTGGGCTACAAGCAAAGCTGACTTGTCCGACTCTGGACAAGATTCGCTCTCATAGTCTTCACTCGAAGACATAGGTTTTGGTTAAGCATCACTTCAGTCATTCTGACTAGTTTTCTTGGACCCCACTTAACAGTACGGTGGTTCCTATGATTCAACAAAGAAGAAAAAGAACTATGAAAGATCTAAGTCTTCGAGCTCCAAAGGCTTCATGCGATGTCTTCTCTTGTCATAGTCTTCAATGTGAATATCTTCATATACCACCTTTGACATCAATGTCTTCATACATTTTTAGGGGTCATCTCTGGTAGGAAAACTGAATCAATGAGGGACTTCTACCTGTGTTATCCTGCAATTCTCACAAACACATTAGTCCCTCAACTAGGTTTGTCGTTAATACTCCAAAACCAACTAGGGGTGGCACTAGATGCACTTACAGTCCGCCTCGCGAGGATTGGCCCCTTGCGAGGGTCTTGAGCTGTTGTTGCTGAAGCTGGGCCGTACCGGGCCGTTGATGCGATCAACTCCTTGATCACTATACCTAGTTATCCTTGTTTCCGGTTTGTACTCTCTTCTTGTTTCCGTAGCCCGGTATCCCGTGGCTAACTCTTTACTCACAATACCTAGCCAGGCGATGCTGGACACCATAATACCGAGTGGACCGAGAGTGTATCTCTCCATCACCGGAGGGGCAAATTCCAGTCTTGACATATCACCTTTACAATTACCCAGTTACATAATAACGTTTTATGACCCCGGATCAACCATCCGGTATCTGTGTCTACGATATTCTCATGGTCTAAGGACACAAGTAAACGCCAAGATCTCGAAGTATTCCATAAGTGGGCATATCCAACACCATTGTTATCTTGATAATGTGCTCTCATTATTGTCGGCATCCTTGTTACATTAACAATGTCCATGATCAGAAAATTAAGACCATCAACAATACATGAGCTAGTCCAGAGGATTGACTAGGGATATGTTTGGAATTTATTATTTCATATATGCAATTGGGTTTTCCTACAAATCTCATATTGGGGAACCAATGCAATTCTAACATAGAAGATAAACTTAATCACAAACATGAAAATAGAATAATAACAACTTTATTATTGCCTTTAGAGCATATTTCTAAAGGTCACCACCACCGGAAGGCCGAAGTGACGGACAACGGACAACATAGACTTACCACAAGCCCAAGACAGGAAAAACTAAGACTCCCACAGGTAGATCTGGGCCTCCCCTTGTTCTTCCACTGACAGGGCCAACAGAGGAGGAGAAGGGCGGCGATCAAACGACAGAGGAGATGCGGCGGCTAAGGAAATAGGTAAGGCAGCACAGAGAAAGAACGACTAGGTGCATGATTATGCTTAATGGGTACACGTTGTGGAGGTTACTTACACTAGCAAGAGTACTTAGAAAAAGGAACCAAAACTATAAAGATGATACAAATGACGACATTGCAAAACAAATCCAAAAGCAGAGCGCATCAAATTCGATTATGTGAGGCGAAAAAACCAACGGAGACTGACGTGATAGATGATCCACCAGCCATGCGACCATGGTTTCTTCTAAGTGGCTCGTGTGCGACTCATGATTAGGGGTAAGCTAGTAAAAGTATTATGTCTTTTATATGTGATATAAATAATGATTTTACAATTTGATCTCGATATCCAAATTTCATTTATTCGGTGGGGCTGAAATAATTATCATAGGAAAAACATATTTATAAAAGGAAAAGATTTGATACTTTTGGCTTTAAGCGGCTAAATGGAGTGTAATTGGAATTGCATATAAATAAAATAATCATTAATACTTGGGTTCTTCCAATTATGTGTGTAGCAACTGGAATCGCATACTTTTGGCTTTAAGGAAGTAGCAATCAACAACCAATTCATGGCAAAGCATATTTGACTGGTCTACCATTCTGCTTTTGCTTAAAGCCCCCTGTACAATCTCGGAGTTCACTTCCACCACCATCCAAGCGTACGTCTTCTCTGCACAGGGGTTAAAGACGGAACACTCAAACATGTCGAGGTCCTGCACGCAAAGTTGCCCCCACCAACGTGTAGAAGAGAGGGACAGGGGCGGAAGATCCCACCACTCGCCGCTCCCATTCGCAGCTCCGTTCCCACCTGAGCCCAGCCGGTCGGTGGCTGCCGGCAGCGACCTACTACTACCTCCGCTGCGCCCCTCAGCAGCTCCTCCTCCCACTCTGCCGCAGCCCCAGCTCGAGCGAGAGAGCATCTTCCTCCCGCGCGGCCGCGTCCGCCTCCCTCCCCTGCCCTGCCCCCGTGCGGTTCTTGGAGGCGGCGTGGCGGCTTGGCTGGCCGGCCTCGCCTCCAGTTGACCCGACTGACTCCCCCCCATTCGGTCAGCCCGGAGGAGGAGGAGGGGATTTGATTGACTTTTTGAAGCTTCTCGCTTGTTTCTCTCCTGGCGTTGCGGCTGCCGGCCAACGGCCTCAGCGGATTTTTCTCCAGTCTCATCCCCCCCTTCAAGTGGCGGCGGAGATCAGCTGGACCCAAAAGCCTCGCCAGAAACCGGCTGGGACTCTAGGGTTGGCTGCTCAGCTCAGTTATCCTCAGCGGCTGCTCCTCCTGATCCCTCGCGTTGCCCGCCATCTCTCTCTAGCTTTGCTGACTTACCCGGGGCGGAGGAAAGAGGAGCAGAGTTCGCCTGTGGATCTTCAGGAAAGGAAGCTCATTCATCCTCTTCCTGTCAGCTGGGAAGTAGAGGAAGAGATGGGGAACTGCATGAAGTCCACGGCCCGGGTGGATCACAGCATGAACACTAGTGCCGCCTGTGAGTGCCTCTCTTACTACTTTTACCCCTATTTTTCTTTGTGTCTATTTGTCAGCTTCTAGTACTTGCCTCCTGGTTGGCATCTTTTTTGTTCGATTGCTTGGGCTGTTTTGGTTATTCGTACTGGTGGTAGTAGTAGTTCTTGGATTTGGTTTGTGTTGAACTGAGAGGCGTACCATGTGTGGGGCAAAATTTGGATAGCATGTTGTTATGCATCTTACACTTCTGTTTCGGTGACTAGTTTTTACCTACTTTGTTCCTCTCTGGTGCACCTTCGCCTCTATGTTTGTCCCCCTTTATTATTAGGGTAAGCATAGCATATTAGCATGCCATGGTGCATGAACTGGAACATCAATTTCTTCTTAGGTTTGAAATTTCAGATAGCAGAGAGCTACTTCAGTTCACATGTTCAGTATCATTGTGAACCTGAAGATGTTGTTGTTGCCAATTTGTTCTTACACACATTTCCTTTGTTTCTTGGTGGGACATCAGATCCATCGAAAGTGACCAGCAAAACAAGCATGTCATCTGCTACTTCTGCGAGCAAGACCAACTCAACTCGTTCAACGTTTACTCTGCCATCTATAAGAGATCGCAGCGAGCCGCCTCGGACAGAAGGCGAAATCTTGTCATCGTCGAACTTGAAGGCCTTCTTGTTCAATGATCTTAAAAATGCGACCAAGAACTTCCGCCCGGACAGTCTTCTTGGGGAAGGAGGGTTTGGGCATGTTTTCAAAGGTTGGATTGATGAACACACTCTTGCTCCTTCGAAACCGGGAAGCGGTATGGTTGTTGCTGTCAAGAAGCTTAAACCAGAAGGTTTCCAAGGGCACAAGGAATGGCTGGTAGGTTCAAGACTCCTTACCACTAATTTTCTACTTTCCTCCGGCTATTTTCTTGTCTCCTGATGGTTCATTTTCCTGCTCAGACGGAGGTTAACTACCTTGGCCAACTTCACCATGCCAATCTTGTTAAGCTCATTGGTTATTGCTCAGATGGTGACAACAGACTTCTGGTGTATGAGTTCATGCCCAAGGGAAGTTTGGAGAATCATCTGTTCAGAAGTATGTTCTTTAATCTATATGAGTTTTATTGCTAAATCATTGATTTCTGACGTCTTTAATATTCATGTGTCAACTATCAAGTAACCAATAATGTTTGTATTCTTTTAGGAGGTGCTGATCCTTTATCATGGGGAATAAGGCTTAAGGTTGCTATCGGGGCTGCTAAGGGTTTGTCATTTTTACATCATGCTGAAAACCAAGTTATATACCGTGATTTCAAGGCATCAAACATTCTTCTTGACTCGGTATGGTTGAAATATGATGTTGACTCTGATTACAAGCCAACCTCTGGGGTCTTTTAACTTAACTTGTTACTCTTGATTCAATGCAGGAATTCAACGCGAAGCTTTCAGATTTTGGATTGGCGAAAGCTGGTCCAACTGGGGATAAAACTCATGTTTCCACGCAAGTGATGGGCACTCATGGATATGCAGCTCCAGAGTATATCGCTACAGGTTAGAAGATTATCTTTGTGTTTGTATTTACAAAAATGGGGCCATGTCTCCCTTTTTTGTTTCATGTTACAAAAATGGGGCCATGTTGGGTCTTCGCTCTGTATTAGCTAAACCTAAGTTGAATTATTTTCCGGCCTAAATCATCCCATATCTATGACAGAATCATGGTGAAGCCCTATTTGTTTAAAGTAGCATAATCATATCATGGTGTTCTCCAATCATGTAGGCCATCATGGAATTGTTTCCTGATTTCCCTTGATAGTCAACTACACTTGCCTTCTGTTTTGTCTACATTTCCTGATCCAGCAATTTCTTTGTTTTATATGTCAAGTCAAACTAATTTTAAATGTAGGAAATGGTCCACTCCACTTTATATTCCTATTAAATTCGAGACTGGCCATATTATTCTTGGATTTTATAAAATGGCAGTACATATGAACATGTATTGATAATATTGTGCGTAAGAAATAAATGAAATCTAAATGAATATGCATTGCTTATTTCTGGATAAACCCATTCTCATGTTCCTTAATATTCACAGGTCGCCTCTCTGCTAAGGCAGACGTCTATAGCTTTGGGGTGGTGTTGCTTGAGCTGCTGACCGGGAGACGAGCCCTGGACAAGTCAAAGCCAGGCATAGAGCAGAACCTAGTGGACTGGGCCAAACCGCACCTGCCCGACAAGCGCAGGCTGTACCGTGTCATGGACACGAAGCTGGGAGGCCAGTATCCTAAGAAAGGCGCACACGCCGTCGCGAACCTCGCCTTGCAATGCATCTGCAACGACGCCAAGATGCGTCCGCAGATCTCAGAGGTCTTAGAAGAGCTGGAGCAGCTCCAAGACTCCAAAAGCAATTTAGTGTCGCCGCAGGTTGACATCCGGAGAACCTCCAACACCGTCCCGAAGTCGCCAATGAGGGGCCAACCCTCGCCACGGCGCTCTCTTGGAGCGATGGCGCCGCCGTCACCGGCTTTTAGGACCGCGCAAGTGCACTAGAAGCACAGCTTAGAAGTGGGAGAGAGATGTATCCGTACGGCTGTACATTTGGTGGCGAGCTGTGTAATTGTTGTTTCTAGTGATGCTTCTTGCTCATTTGTAGGGCGTGGCACGGAATATGACTACGGCACTCTGCGATGAATTGTTTTTCACCAAATCTGAGAGGTGTTCCTAAACCCTAAACCCTCGTCGCGGAGCCGGGTTTATCATCTGCAGACATGACAGAAACTGTGGACAGGGAGCATTTCCAGGCTTGTCATGGGCTACCAAATTCGTCGCCCAATTGTGCTCGATAAGAAATTGACATGTTATCAGATAGGGTCTTGATGTTTTTTTTTTTGTCACAGCTGCATATTTCTCAGGCAATCGCAATTCCTTTGTCCAGATAGGGAAAAATATATACCTACTGGAAAGGACTCCCCTCTTGCAACATTATGCAACTGAAACAAGATAAAATGGAAAAATGAGCCTTGAATTTCAGGAATGTACATGTACTAGATGTACTCTTGGGTTTAGTGATGATTTGATGAACTTGCACAAATTTGTTGTGGAGAACAAAAACAGCAGCGATGGGCATGCCAGCCTGCTAAGGCGGGTAAATGGTACAGCGTGTCTCATTTCTCGACAATAAACTCCTGAATCTCTATTCCAGTGTGACGGGCGCCGCCCTGCTTCCTCACCAAAACTTCGTCGCCAACTTTCAGTGAAGTCACAGGAATAGCAGTCCTTCCACCAGATCCTACATCAGACAATCATACAGTTCGGGAGTAAGTTGGTCAAGAAAGACCGATGATAAACCTTGAATCCTTATCTGAAGTTCTGAACCTTAACTAAATCTAGGGGAGTATCAGAGAACTCAGCAAAAACATTGCACTGGTTGTACAATGCCCCCCACAATGGTTTTAAAGGTTTCCTTTTACTGCAAAACTTCATACTCTGTTGATTTCCAGAATTGTATGAGGTTTCATTTTCTGGTGACACTCTGTACTGTGAATTCCCAGTGTTGGACACTGTATTTTTTTAAGGCAGTGTTAAAGTATAGTTAACTGTGTAGGCATTGGAACCGGAAAATTTCCTGTTAATCTACCGACACAAGTCATTCAGAAATAGATATTTTCTTATGGCTTGTTAGAATCACAAATCCAAAAGAACTTTACCACATTATCTTCAGAATATGTGCTGGGTGGGTTTACCTCTGTCAGGACCGATAAGTGCAACTGTCTCTGCATTTTGAAGGAAAATGCTATATGTACCATTTCCAGAGTTCTCCTGTAGCAAGTCCAGTAACGTCATGAAACTGAGAATGAATGTGCAGATACCATCAAAAGGAAGAACGTTTTTTATGTACCTTTGCTTCTACAAGGATGAGAGGCCTTGATTCAATCTTCACGCGGCCAACAATTGAAGTTCGCCACAACCCATTTTGATCAACAACGATTACTTCCCTACCTGATTGCAGCTCTGAGAGGTAGCTAGTCTTGTCCCCAGGGACTGTAACATATGCATGCACAGGCCCCTAAAAATGGAAAGGACATACGTAGTGAAGCCTGCTGTAATGCAATATCTGAGATAGCTTACTGCACTCTAAATGATTGATATCTTACTGCATTGACCCTGAAAGGTCTGCTAGCAATGTAGTTTGTCTCCAAGCACTCCGAGTGAACAAGGAACATTCCTCTTGCATAGGAACCGACCTGAAAAAAATGGCATCCATCGTCACATCCATGTGTATGCTTTTAACCAATCGTGTGTAGTAGGAGTAGGATATTAGTAGTGTTGTTTTCTTTATATGTTCCTCGACAGTGAAAAGGTGAGAAATTACACAAACCAGAAGGCCTTCACCGGGTCGCATGATACTACAGAGGTCCACACAAACACGATCGCCCATACCAACAACTTCAACCTTTGATACAGTAGCCTTTGTCAACTGTAACTGGCTCTTTGCCTCGTTCCTTCTGTCAAAATAATCCTGAGTGATTAAAGGAGGAAAGAAATAACAACGGGTAAATCATACGATCAGATAGACGATAATCAGTGACCATAGCAAAATACTGCCTTTTGTATACTAAAATCTAGATATGTGCACATAGCGAGCAATATATCTAATTTTAAATGGGATCATTATTTGCCCAGACAGGGATTTACTTGTTACAGTTTTGCTAAAGCACATCTAGATGTGCCATAAGTATTGCACATCTAAGTCATATGTCATTGATCTTACATTAAGATTCGTGTGAATATTTTCTTTCTCTTTTTTCTTTTTCTTTTATGCTTGATTCACTCACTTAGATGTGCAATAACTAGAGCACATCTAGATGTGCCCTAGACACACCAAAGAAGTTCGAACAGAATTGTGATGAAATACCTTGAGTTTAATAATATCATCCATGTCCTCTACTTTAAGTACAACTCCATCAAGCCCTTGCTCCAAGGCCTGCAAAATGGGCATCATAAATTATGAAACAATCTCATCCAGTATAGTCACTGACAATATATAACATCATTATATGCAAGATATGCTGTTGTATGTCCAAATCTCTCCATAATTACCTCAAGAAAAACTTGAGCCTCAGTTGAGTTTGTCGAAACAGCCAATACAATTCCTGCACATCCTTGGAAGGCAGCAACTATATTTTCTGCTGGTATAACCTATGGAATTTGCAAAAGAGGACACCAGTTAGTGCTTCCTATGGGTGACGTGGGTTTGCAGAGTACTGTTTACAAGTTACCTGGCAGGCATGAAACAGCAAAAGAGGACACACAATTTCATAGACAATATCAGGTGTGTATTCACATATGCACACTCATCACAGATACAAGGGAGTTCTTGAAACACATAATAAGATGGTAAAGGATGACTAAAAAATTTAGAGCTTAGTATTGCAAGAGCTCAAGTATGATGGTTTATCTCACTGTGCCAGTTCAAACTAACATATATACCATGTAAGTCAGGACTTAAGAGAAAATTACAAATGGGTTAGAGATTCAAACATGATATGGTGATATTGAGGTGCTCGATTGTCTGACCTGCCAATCACCTCGGAAATGAATCACGGTGTTCTGTACTTCCACATTGTCTGGCTGTATGAGTTGCAGCCCACCTGGGGAAGAGATTTCAGAAATTGCAGCAACCTTTTGGTTCCCCTCATCGAAAATCTCCAGGCCGTCAATAAAGAGAGGATGGATGCGAGCAGTTGCTGCAGCACACACAGACACACTCAAATTTAATTGGCTTAAGAGAGGATGGATGCGAGCAGTTGCTGCAGCACACACAGACACACTCAAATTTAATTGGCTTAGCGGTTAGGGCCTTCAGGCATTGGGTATCAAAGACATTCGTCCATTTCAACTAAATGACATAGTATCCCTGCTTGGAACAGCCAAAAATTTGCTCTCACATGACCAGTCCTTGCCGACATCTTTGGATCCAAAGAGGAAAGTGTTCCAACCCCTCTCTACGGCAGCCGTCATCACCTGCCGGTTCTCTGTCCATACCCAGACGGTCTTCTTTGACCCCCCTGGCGCAGCCGGAGCAGAGCACATCTTGATACACTGCAGGCGCAAGCGGGCTGATGCTGAATCAAGAATCCCAAATCAGGTTCAAATATCGCAATAGAAATCCTAAATTCTTCATTTGATACAAGATCTTAAGAGTTTTTCCAACTGTGAGCGGTGGGTTCCGAGGAACGGCTAATACTAGTGAAATCGCAGTGGATTCTTAGGGTTCCTGAGTTCTTGGGTTATGAGTAGGTACCAATGTGGCAACGAATCTGAAAGCCTGACAGCGAGTGTGAAATAATTTGACCCCAATTATGTTGTGTACTAGTACAAGATTTATAAGGGAAACAGATTGGGGGAACTACGCATGGGCAAGAACCCTGTAGTACGAAAACTCGCAAGAGAAAGAGAGGCGGAAGATTCGTACCTGTTCTTTGGGGGGCGAGGTGGGAGATATGGAAGGAAGCTAGGGCTTTGGCGGAGCCCAAGATGGAGGAAGAGGAGCAGGAGACCGCCATCGAATTTCTTTGGTGGGCGTTTCGGGGTGGGACATTTGATCATTTTCCACGGGGGCAACTTTGGCATGGCAAAAATAGGGGCAAAAATAGAAAATGGTTAACTAATGAAAAATGGTATATTATCAAATTTTCGCATGGCACCTGGAGAGGAGCCCATACCTCGAGCCTTTTGTTCCACGCTCACTCGTTTGTATCCTCTTTCTCTAGGCGTGATGGCTAGCGATCTTTTGCCACGCTTTTTCGACTGAGGGGTTGAGCGGTGGTACTCGCGGCAAACTGCCACTTGGTTCATCGCAGAGGATCAAATAGACAACGTTCAAGAGGAGGCTGTGTATGGACATGGCACAAAGCAACTCTCTGGGTCCTCCGTTGATTGGATGCTAATGACCTTGGCCTGCTGACGACCTCTAAGTGCTTCCCTAAGAGACGTGGAGCCTCATCGGCATCGAGGAGGCAATTTTGCTCGTACCATTGGGTATCATTGGTTACAGAGTTTTTGGTTTGCTAAACATGTCTTTGGCGGCATTCTGGTGACGGAGACGGGGACCGGCTTTGCTGGAGTCCGATGTGGCACTTTGGGGACGAAGGCGGAGTCTCCTGGGAGGAGGCCACTTGGTGTGATTTTGATGACGAAGATGAAGACTCCATTTGCCGAAGTTGCTTGGTGGAGCTTTGGCGATAAATGTGAAGTATCCTCACCAGAGGTTGCTTGGCGACATCCCAATGTCCAAGACAGGGACTTAATTGATCGAGGTTTTCTTGGCGGCACCTCGGGATGAAGGCATCGTCTCCTTGATCAGCGGAGGCTTTAGGTGGTTTCCCGGTGAGAAAGAAGGAGACTCCTTTGACTGAGGTCCACTTTGTGTCCTTTTTTTTTCATGATGACTATGGGGCTTTGACACGTCCATTTTGCATCATATTTTCTTACTGTTATTTATAATGTTTTACCCATTATAATGCTTTTTGGAATAATTCTAATGCATT